CCACTAGTATAAGCATTTACGCTGTAATACAAGACAAACGAAAATAAATACCAGGAGTATGCAATCCAAAGTTAAGAAGTAAAAAGTTTTTATATCTCCTTGCTGTCAAGTTTAGGGTTCGAACCATTTTTCGTAAGGGTGGAAAGAATGTGGAAACGGGTGGGAGGGTTTAGAAAAAACTGCTCGAACCATTTTTCGTGTAAGGGTGGAAAGAATGTGGAAAGGGATGGGAGGGTTTAGAAAAAACTAAAAACTTTTCGTAAGGCAAGAATGAATGACAATTATGTATTGATTTTACCATTTTTTAGTTTAAACATTAAAACCTACATATAAAAAAGTTTAATTCCATCATATTTTTTTCTAATCTACTAAATTCAAAATGTCAATTAGGTTTTTTAAACTTAATAAAAATCTACTTACTACTTAATTGACTCATATAATTTTATGGTTAACATTGTTAGTCAAATTGCCCAATATTTAGACCTTAGGGGAAGGAAAATGTAATTTATTTTTGGTTGGGGAGAGAGAGGATTTAAGGATAGATTAGTAACTTGAAGGACTCGATAGGCACATTTAAAGGTTTGGGGATGAAAATGATGTTGGAATGAGTTGTTAGTTGTTTGCTGTTGGGTGTTGATTAGTGTTGGTTGTTGTTGATATCTTTTTTGGGTTAAAAACAAAAAAGTCACATTTAATTATGCAAATATACAAGAAATCTTTCCATGGTTTCAAAACATATAATCCGACACCTCATGATTTGAACTAAATTGAAAACGTGATGAAAATTGTCAAAACTAACATGTTCGAAGCATACACGCTTTGTTTTGCAACTAGTGGTACCTGAAAACCGTTTTTTATAATTAATATTTATTTAATATACCTATTCTTCCACTTACAGAAAAGCTCCCTGTGATTAACTCAACCTATAGGAAAGCACTCTGTAGTTTTGAAACATACAAGTTGGATTTAATCCGAAACTTCAGAAAATATATTGAAAAGAAAGTAAAACTTTTTGAGAGAAATCAACCACCAGTCTTATGCACACTACTTTTGGGGTATGGTAAAAGTTTTAAAATTGGGTTTTTGCTATTATAATATTATCTTAGAGGATCTTTTTTAAGAAGTTAAAGTAGGAATTTCAATACTCTTTCTTTGTACAAAGTGAAGGAAAATTTTACAAAATAGTTGCTTATATCTTTCTCAAATTTTCAAGTGGATAGTAGAACTAGACCCTATGATACCATTACAAGATTTGTGAGTGTTCAGAAAAAGTAAAAGTAAAAATTTTCAAGATTGAAAAAGCCATCAAAAGAGATGTTGCACTTTATGTGTACAATGGATGACGGTGGGTTTTTTTGTGATCATGGTGTTATCCTATATACTGATATTAACCAAACCAGAACAACTATTTTATGTGTAAAGGGATGAATATTATATTTTTTGAAACCACATGGAATTTTCTTGTAAGTTGGCTTAATCACAGGAAATTTTTCTGCATTTTATCCTTATATATTAAGGTATTTTTGTCATTTAGTCCACTCACATTAGTTTTGATGATTTCCATCACATTCTCAATTTAATTCAAATCACGAGGTGTCAGATTGTATATTTTAAAATCATGGGAAGCTTTCCTATATATTCGCTTAACCATGGGTGGTTTTTTTGTTTTTAACCCTTTTTATTATTTAGAATTTAGTTTTTTAGTAGAAAATTTCTTTTGGCTGTAAGATTTGTTTACTTAGTCAAGCGGTTTATTTACAAATAGAGAGTCTTATTATTGAATCAATCGAAAAGAGTGAAGGATTGAGAGCATTGTTCTTATGATATTATTAATATTATATTGTTGATTTATTTCTCTTCTCACATACATACTTGTATGTATGTAAATTGCCTCCCACAATGGTTATATGAAATTTATCTCGTATAAATTTTTGGTGAAATTTTTTATGTTCTGCATATTATATGGTAAGATTTTGCTCCTAAAATGAATTGTGGCATCTCAATGATGTTATTAGAGAGAAAACGAAACATCCTAATCCATTTCGACCTAGCTTGAGCTTCAAATATTTAATTAACTGGCTCATATTTGATAGTTGTTTGACTGGGTTATACTTACGTTCTGTTTGATAAAACTGAATTTGAATTCTGAAGTCTGAATTCTGAAATCTGAATACTGAAACAATTAATTTACTGAATTTTAAGCACTGAAAAGAAATATATGAATGTCTGAATTTCAATGCTAAACTTATTTATACTGTTTGATAAATATTTATAACTAAATGCTTAATAAGTTAAATTTGACAATTTTGCCCTTATATCTTTTCATCCAAAAAAGAAATAAAACCTATGATTTAATTAGTTAAAAATGTTAGGTATGAAAATGACAATATTTATTTTTAAATCAAATTAATATAAAAGATGAAATATATTATATAAGGAGTATGCAGAAGATGTGAAAGTCATTCAAAAGGGAGAAAAAAGAAATAGAAAATCATTAGATAGAGAATATTAGGTTGTTTAATTAGATAAAAATTTTGAACATAATTAACAAACAATGATAGATTTGGCAGATAAGATAAGGTAATTGAAGTAATTTTATTGATTCTTATCAGAATTAAGCATTCAGTCAGGATTCTTGTGCTGAAAAAAATACACACAAGTTCAGCACTACTTAACAAATTCAGCAAATAAATTTTCATTTATCAAACAGTCAAAACATCTAAATGTCTGAAAAAATTCAGATTCAGCACTTTTTTTTGTTATCAAACAGACCCTTAATTAACTGACTTTATGCACGATAATTGGTTACTCAAATTGTGTGTGCTAACAACATACACAAGATAAAAGGTAGATCTAGTGCTAATATGTCTAAAAAAGCATTAGGTAAAGTTTATGTATCGTAATGTCACACTTGTATACTCCGTTTATGTTAATGTGCTTATCTTGTGCTCTTAAAGCCATATTCTAATGAAATAGTACTACTCTTTTTTTTTTTTTTTCCATTCTTTTGGGGCTAGGACTATTTTATAGACAGGAGCGGAGCTAAGACCCCACAGTAAGTGGGGTCAAATTTTAGTACCATAAAATTTATTTCAAAAAAAAAACTACTACATTATATACAGGTTATAATTGTACCCTACGATTACTCATTTTTTTAAAATGTTGCAAAATCAATTCATTATCAATTTTGTTAAATACATCTTTTTCAATGTAAGTAATTGACCCTCTTGAATTTTTTAAATATAATTTGGGAATTACCATCAACTTGATCTTCGACGGGTCTCTTTTAAGAAATTTATCTTTACCCCGTTATAAATAAAAATCATAATAACTTAATTTCGTATTATAAATAAAAAATTTACCATCCACTTGAATAATTCATGTTTTTGATGACTTTGAAGTTAGAAAAAATTGGTTTGAAGAATTGATTTTCTCACTCCAATCAAGAAAGTTGGAAACTTTGGATAAATTTATTTTTGAACTAACTTCCATAAATAATTTGAAATAAATTCAAAATTATTGTGATGGTAAGAATTATGAATTTTCAATTGTTTGGGGTCAATGTATATAGGAAAGAAAATTTGATATAATTTAGTGGGGTCAAATAAGATACAAATTTAAAATTTACTAAATTTTCTAAGTCTAAGAACTAATTTTCCAAATTTAAGTGACCCCACTTGCTTGCCTGTGGCTCCGTTCATAGAGGACGTGCATAAAGCCTAGCAATATCAATCAATGTTCCGAATCTGCGCAAATCCGGAAAACAAGAAATCGAGTGGTAACAGCTTCTTATCCAACTAATTAGGAACTTAAACTATATATACCCTAAGTCCCACGGACAATTGAAACATGCATTCTATTATCATCTTAATTCAAAGTACGTTTGCAAAATTTGTACTCAAACTACATATTCCTCGTTTTAGCCTCAAACACCTTTTAACCTAAATAAGATCAAGAAATGATTGACTGGTATCATCTTCCAACTGTTATTGTAACTTTCATTCTTTAGTTTTCATCCATAGTTAATCTTCTAGCCAATTTTTACTCTTTTGTCGTTTAGTTTCTAGCCATTATTACTTTGCTTTCAGCTGTCCTTCATAAGAGTCCTGATGCTCTTTTCATCAAGCTTATACCATTCAATACTGATCTTTTAGCCATTACTTAATCTCCTTATTGAATCTTCTTGACAGATCCATTACTCCTTCATTATCCTTATTCTTGGATCTTCTTCATCAACTAAACTTCTATTGATATATCGATGTAATATTTCATACAACTAATAGGAGTAAGCCATATGTTACTACAGAATCACGGATCAAGAATTGATTTACCTCATCAAGAAACACGCAAGAGTACAACCAGGAGACGGACAACTAATTACTTGTAAGATTGCAGCCAAGACTTGTAGGGAATGTGTTGCAGAGGGCATCTCAGTTGTATCTCATGAAACACAACATTGAGAAAACACAATTGGTTGCTATGGTGATTTGTGGACTGGTGGATGACTAATTACGTATGTCGACCCATTGAATGAAGGCTTGCTACTAATTGTTATATAACTGCAAGAAAATCCAATGTTGCCAGCAAGATTTATAGGAAAAGTGCTGTGGAGGATATCCAATAACAAGTGATGAAGCTGTTGATGCTTTTGAAGTAGTTGAGGTGCCTAACTTGGTTAATACTAACAAATTTGATATAAACACCATTGGTTGCTATAATGGTTTGTTGACTGATGCTGGACAACAAATTACACAAGATCAGTTGTTGAGGTTGGAGCTTGTTAATGAATGGTATGTTGCCAGTTGCCAGAAACATCAGTGACCTCTGGACCATTGTACAATAAACAATGGGCTAGATGCGTACAGGGCATCGCAAAGTCTGCAGACAGCAAACTATTTCTCACAGAGGCACCATCCATCGACAATCTCTTAAGAATGCAGAGTCTGTAGACAGCAAACACAACCCACAAATACATGCATGCACAAATATGACGCTTCTTATGTTATCAAAGAAACTAGTCTTCATTGCCTTAGTAATTTGACGCTAACAAATCTGTCAATGGTTCAAAAATATCTCAACAGAGAACACATTTAAATTTAGTTATAAGCAAAGATGACTGCAACAAACTGAATCTCTTTTCTCTATCTCTCTCTCTTTGGAGAGATGGCTTTTGCCACCAGTTATAGGCATTTATAAATCAGACACTAATATTAAACTACAGGGTCAGGATTTCATCTCTTTTTAGTTGCCAGGCTTCGACGTTCAGCTTCTTTCTCAGCAACAATGACGTAAAATTCTGCCCCAAGCATCTCATGTATATCAAGATTATGCGAGATGCTCAAATCAACTAACTCAGTTATCAATTCCACAGTAACCATGAAACCTAGAGTGGATAGTACTCTGACTGCATTCGCTATTCTACATATATGTTGCCTAATCTCTACTGATGTGTGACTTTGTTCTTGTTCACGGGAACTGACTGAACCACTTAAACTGGCATTTTCTTGCTCGGATTTGATCATTTGATCCACTACCATGTCATCTTTGGCTTCAACATGTTCACCAACCCATATGAATCCATTACAGCCAAGTATCAAGTCAACTCCATACTGGTCTAGGTGGTGGAAATGTTGTTTACGCCTCTTCACCAAATAAGGGGAGATTCTGAGTAATTGACCTCTATCAAGCTGTTGCAAAGAACAGAAGGAAACAAAATAACAAACAAACAAAATGAGTAAGCTGAAAGTAATAAAAGTATTAGATTGCTCAGGAAAGTATACTAGATGCACTGATCTAGATCAAGAGGCTAAAAAAGGATAGGGATTTGAGGCGCAGGTAATAGGAATTGGACATGGAGACAGCAACAGCATTAATAAACCCCAAGCCCAACTCCTTGAGGCCCGAAACATCTCCTCTTTGGTTTTTTCGATAACCAGCACAAAAACACATTAATCCTGAAGCCCAAGATCACGAATACACCTTTCTATACTTCTGACTTCTTGCTTGTAGGTACAGACTTCCATCATGTTGGAAACCACGGACTTCAGCCTGAAACAGCACAATCTTTGCTAAATGATCTATTTAGGCATTTGAAGTATTAAATTCTCGAGATCCAAGGTCCTCAAAATTTATTGATTACTGGATATGATCAACATACAAGATATTAATTTCCAAATGTCAAAAGATTCACATGCAGAAGATAATTGTGATGAAATTGAAGAAAAGAACAGGACATTCAAGTTGATTGCTTTTCTTTGGGAGGGGGGAGGGGTGGTGTTTGCAGTCCTAGATCACCATAAGACATATCAAAAAGGAAATCCTATAGCCTTATAACAGCAAATTCTGATACCAGGGCAGCAGCAAAAAAGGTGTACAATTGGTGGGCTTACACAAACAATGTCATTCTCTTCAAATATACTGCGCATGTTGAGTTCATCGAGAGCAGTTCGGCGCCTCTGGAGAAGAAAATAATGAGATGAAGTAAGGAAAACTTTTGGATGAAATCAAATGGAACTCACACTCAGTCCGGTTCAAAAACCATATTCCTTTTATATCTTCACGGACAACAAATGGGAGTTCCCAGGAACAATAATGTGCTCAACCAGTGCCCCCACCCCCCTCCCCAAAAACCAACCAACCAAAAAACCGAAAAAAAATGGTGGTGAAGTTATTCTTGTAAGATGTGAAGCTCAAGTAATTAACTGTTTCAGCATAGTCTGGAATTGACAGTGTGTATAGACATTATAAAATGAGAGACATTATATAGTAAATGCATTTAAAAAGGAACTTGCAGATACCTGGATGCCATCAGGCAAGTTCATTGAAGAAAGCATCAATACTGCGTCTTGGCTGAAATTGATCTCCAATCTCCAACGCTTAGGAGCCACCTTCAAAGATACACTTGCAGATAAAGAACCACCCACCAAAAGCGGAATAAAGAAAAATGAATTCGCCAAAAACAAAAATATAGGAGTACAAGATATGGATCAGACGCGCCTCATGTTTAACAAACTTTACATGAACATTATCCCTCAATAATCAGAAAGCAACTAATTGGCTCCCAAAATTTTTCATTACAAAAAGGCAACAATAATAAGTATCAAATTGGTTCCATACAACGTAAGCAGTATTAATGAATTTAGCAGTGTAATTTCGAATAAAGGCAAGGTTTCAAAGGAATGGGACAGAAATACAGGAGAGAATTCAACAAAGATGTGGTTAACATTCACCTCGATAACTCGGCCAACAATAATATCACCTATCTCAGGCTTGTACCTAAAAAATAGGGTAGATAGAATTGAGAGCAATGTATTTTCAAACATTATCAGCGCTACAAAAGGTACAATTTTTCTACAGTTGGGGGTACCTTGCCCTGAGAGCACGAACATAGACAAGCTTATTCACGCGCTCAACCACTCCGCAGATGGTTGCCACCACCCGGCCATCCATCTCCGACGTCCCATGCCCTCTTCGCCCAATAAATCAAGAGGATTAGAGTTCGCCACCCATTTGAGATTTTCTCTCAATTGTTATGAAATGACGGAAAAATATAAGACAAAATGCCAAAAATGAGAAAATTTTGTGTGACCAATATTTACTTGAGAACGCCGTCTTCGTAATTGATGGGAATGGTGTCGGCGACTATGACGGAGGCATTGGAATTGTTGCTGGTGGTGGAGGAAAGGGATTCCAACTTCTCAAGTGCTGTTTCCAGTCTAAGCTTCTGGGTCTTGCTCAATGACAATTGAACTCCTCTCATCTTCCCAACTCCCTTTTACTTTCTTCTTCTTCTTCTTCTTCTTCGTAGGTCTTGCCCCTTCTTCTTCTTCTTCTTCTTCTTCTTCTTCGTAGGTCTTGCGTGTGTGAGAGACAGTAGACAGACAGTAGATTATGATTCAGGACTAAGAATTAGGAAATCCTGCCAAAACCCCAACCACGTCGCTATATACTTATATACTAGAAATTTTCTGGCTGTGCCCAATGCCCAATTTGTTGTGTAAAAAATATTGACAAATTCCCTATAACTCTCATTTTTAAAATTAATAGAACATGGAAGATCTTAATTGTCGTCATGTTGAGAAACCATGTCCATGTGCAAACTATTATAGCAGTAGGATAATTAAAGCAATGTTCATGTCCATGTGCAAAACCAGAGAACTAATTTAACATAGAAGCTGCAAAATAATTGAAGACTGAGGTATGTTAAAAGTCTTTGTCCCCCCAAGTTTGAACAATCCCCTTTCAATGAACCAAGGTATGGAACTCAAAAGTTCTTATCTGTTCAATTTCGATATATACCAACAATGCAATGAATCATAACTACTACTGGATAATTTTTAAGGCAGACAAAAGTCTAGAAAACAAAAAAAAAAGAAAGAAAATTGGAAACTTACAAAACCAACCGTGTTAAGGAGCCAGAGAGTAGCGTAGCGGTGGGAGGAACGATGCGGCTACGGCGGCGAAGGAAGAGCTGAAGACGGCAACGGAGGGAAAGTAACAGGACGAGGGGCTTGGAGGGAGAGAATGAAAGATAAAAGAAGAAACGTTGGCGACTTTATGCGTTTCGCTTTACTGTAATTGCAACACGCACCCTCAAACTACATTTGATACATACTTTACCCTTAATTGTCAATATTTATGCAAACAAAATGTTATTTTAGTCCCAATGTTTAACTTTTTTTGGTGATTTGATGGCAACATTTTATAACTACTCTTGTACTATAGAGAAAGGGGATAGACCTAATAAATTATCATTCCTATACTGTTATTCTTATACTATAGAAGAAGGAGACAGGTTCAACGGAATCATTGAGAACAAAAGGAAACTAAACTACTTCCAATCTGGACAAGTGCACTGTGGCACTCATTGAATTTAAGAAGTTAAGAATTTCTGGTATTTGATGCTAATAAGGGAATATGATCCTTTAAACAGCATCTCAAGAGGAACTTAAAGTCTCCATTGTATTAATATGAGTGCTTTAACTAAATAAAAAACATGCATACATAACAAGAACTCATAGATCCTAGACTTTCTTTGAATAAAAGTCTTCTACAAGAAATCCATGTAGTGGTTTGCTTTGCTTCAAGGCTATCAACCAAAATACGGAAATAAGCATCCGAATGAAACATACATATCACAAGCATAATACATTGGCTTTAAAATAAGAGTGACATATCGGCCAAAAATAGAACTCACATAAGACAAACTTAAATACTAACTAAATCTCAAGTATTATCTTCCTAACAATGTAATTAGCATCACAAATAGAAAAATCCATAGTATTATGCACATAATATGTACCCTTTCGAGATGGAGCATGCTCAGCATTGAATTGTAGTTTTTGCCTTCCTTGCGGAGTAAAACAAAATTAAATACAAAAATTTACAAACATTTAAACACATAATTATTTTGATTGTAGCCTTTCTGGCTTGAAAACAAAAAGAAGTTTCCCCACCTTAGTCCTTGTTTACTCATATGAATAAATCAAGCAAATTGTGTTCTGTATGAAGGAAGGAAAAGTTCCGAACCCAGATGGTTACACAGTGAAATTTTTTAAAAAGAATTGGGCAGCAGTTGGGGAGGATGTTGTCAAAGCTTTCGAGAACGGTATTATCTTCCTAACAATGTACCGTTTTCAATTTCGAATTGGCCATAACCGAATTCATTCCGCAACCGATTTTAAATTCGAAAACGGTAATGAATTCGGTTAGACCAAATTCATCTTAGAAAAGAAAAGATTAATCAAACATTTGATAGAACACCTTCCGAGTCTGCTCCATATGAACCACACAAAAGTGAAGTAAAATCTCTACCATATAAGGATGATATGCATCTCAATTGTGTCAAGGTCAAGATTTCCAGTATATTGTTCATAATGCCGACGAAATCAAGCAGTATATTTTCAAAATCCAGTGAAAATGCAACAAGATAACCTAGTAGTAGACAAAATTATAATTCAACATAATGATTTTCCGATTGCAGAGCTCAATAACAAGTATATCGACTGAAAGCTTGCAAAAGGAATTAATATTTCGAAGCACCGGTGACATATATATACAGGCATATTAAAGAAAACGGAAAAAATTTAAGCTTTACCTCAAGTGGAGTCCTATTGATGATTTCAGAGAGGCCGATTACGTTTTCTTGCGGTGGAGCTGTCGGGAGGGAGGTGCTGGGTGTAACGGTGGTGGAAGCTTAGACAAAAGTGACGACCAGGGTGGGTTCAGTGGTGATAGCGAAGGGCTTTACCCTAAGGCGCCTGTTTCTGAAAATGGATAATTTCATTTTCCTCCCCTGATGCATATATAATATCAACTGTATCCCTAATATCTTTTATTTATTATTATTTTTAAGGAACACATAAAAAGTGATTAATTTAAACTAGAATAAACCTTAGACTGTGCAATGATTAGTGATAATTTATGAATTTATAATTTACAATGATTAATAATAAGTAATATTAGTTACAAACTTACAAATTACAATGATTAATGATAACTTATATTAGTTACAAGCTTATAATTTATTTCAAATCAAAATAAAACTTATTTACTTACATATGTTATTGTGAAAGTCAATACACTAATAAATTGATTTACAATTCATATGCATTCACTTACACTGCTTAGTTATCTTATCTATACTTAAAATCTTAAGATTAGTCAATAGATAATATGAATTTTTATGTTAAATATGTAATGTAAATTTAGAGCGCACTAATATTTGCAAATTACAGATTACGTATTCAAATATTCAAACATGAATGATGTATCAAATTACCAATATCTAAATTCTAATTACTAATTATGTTTATTGTTTAATATTTAATATTATACATATATGTATTAATTATTATCTAATTCTAGTCATGTTACTCATGTAAAAAATAATAAGTATTATAGTTATCATATATTGTTATGTATTACTATATATTTGTATTATTATAGTCATATAACTATTAACAAATACTAAAATAATATATTGTACATTATTATATATTATTATTATTATAAGTACATGATATGATGATAATACCATATAATAATTATTATTAATAGCATTTACATGTATAATATAATAATATATTAGTAGTATAAACTAATAATAAATAGCATTTATCTATATATTATATAATTTTATATACCAATTTGGTATTCGAATGCGATAATGCGGTACTCTATTTCAATTACCGAATTTGAATGCGAAATCGGTTATTACCAAATTCATAATCTCATTACCTATTTCATACCATATTAGAATTCGGTGAATTCAGTATGTATCGAATTTATACCAAATTACCAAATACCCGATTTCAAATTACCGAATTGAATTTGAATTCGGTTATGAATTCGATATGAACCGAATTTGCTCACCCCTAATTGTGACGCCGCTCATCATCGCGTCCTTCACATGGTAGAGAAGAATGGCTTGTTGAAGATCATTTTTCCGAGAATTGATTATGCAAATTGTTTCAGTCGGTTGAAGTTACAACTATTTTTTTGATTGTATGAGGGGATTTCCCGTTGACAAGACAAGCTCTTCTGTTAATCTGGTGCTAAAGATCAGTCAACTTTAACTTGCAAGTTTAACGATCTATACAGAAAGAGAGGGGGAAAAAACGTAATGTACAATTTCCTAATATAACTCTTTGATTAATTAAGAAAAGAAAATAGACTAAAATTACCGTATTTCTGCACAAAAGGAGATGAAAGAACAAAATGTACAAGCTTATATTAACAATATAACAAGTCAGGAAGAGACTCAAACTTTCCGCCGTTTGCATCTGGAACAGTTTCATTTGAATAAACTCCATCATGCATGTCAGAATTCTCTACTACTATATACTTCTGTCAGCTGAACCAGGGAAAATATTCATCCTGGTGTTTTGGACCAAAAGGAGGCTTACCCACTTCCCCTGCTAGACTTTTCTTCAGAGTTTGGTCACATTTCAAACTTGAGTGCTGATTTTGAGGTCGGAAGCAATCTCTCCAGCTTCAACAGCCGATGCAGACTCTTTCTTGTCCGATCCAAAAAAGGAGCAACTCTGGAATGCATCCAGACTGCTAGCTATGAGGCGGTTCAAGCCACCAAGACTATCACTTAAAATCAGATCATCACTACGATATCTACAGGAAGATATGTCCAAATCTAGTGCGCCTAAAGAATCAGGCTGCAAAATTGAAAGATGGAATGATGTCATAGGTGCAAAAATCCTACAGCAGAAAAATTTCTGTAATATTACATAATTTTAGCAAATTTTCTCGTGTTCTTTCAAAATAAAATAAAATAACTAAGTGTACTTGTTTGATATGAAAAAAAGCAAAAAAGACAACCATCTTTCCACTGGATTTATACGAGGCATTTGATTGAAACCAGGAGAAACACGAACTAGGAAAGCAAAGGGTCAAGAATGTACCCAGTAAATGTCAGTAAGCCCATTGAGTTCCCTCTGAGAGTCATCGAAAGAATGTTGATCGGAATGACACTTATCCACAATGTCTCCATGCCTGGGATCATCAGTTAAGGGTTCCTCAGGATCAGACTGCTAGGCCAACCAAAAATGGATATGTCATATCTGAACTAAAATTGCAAGAATTTGATACTAAGCAGGAAATAGATATTGCAAGAATATCTGTATGCAATTACCTCCTGTGCTTTACCAGATGCAGCCGAACTTGTACTGGTAATCTCTCTGGATGTCTCTGGAGGAGAAATTCTTGATGCATTTTGAAATTCTTCAGAGAAAACACTGTTCTTCTGAAACACAAAAGCATCACATGTTTCTTCACCATCCCATATAGAGGATGTATTAGTGTGAAGAGGTGGCTGCAAAGCAGATCGGCTTTGATGTTTATATATATGAGCAGCAATTGCAGCATCAAAGGAGTCACAGCTAAATGGAATCTGCTGAAGGCAGTGAGAGTTCCTTAATTCTGTTGAATCAATGCAATTTACTTCTCCATTGTGAGATGCCTCAGTGAGCAGATCCCCAATGCTTATGTTGGTTAGGCTATCAGCCCACTCCCCAGCTGACAAAGCAACAGTCTTGTGTGGCCTCAAGTCATCCTAAAAAAGCACAAATAGGAAATTAGATAGAATTGCAACAAAGGGACCAGCCATTCCTCGGACTTTGAGATGCGCGAAAAGTTATACATGGTATGAAGCTAAGAAAATCACCCATTTATTTCCAACAAAATATTACAGGCATATCATAGTTTTATAGCAGACTATCTATTTCACAACTTCAATATTTTCTGATAGTTTGAGGCAGAAATAGGCAGTAATGCTACCACAAGTCCACAATGATAGACAACAGCTTTATGCCACTTTCAGCAAACCACAAAAGTATATTACCAAGTGTTACTTAATCTATACCTAGCACTTTATAAACCCCCCCGGCGCCCCCCAAAAAAAAAATCACGGGTTGTCCAGAAACAGTTGGAACAGCAATCACAACTAGGAAAAATATCGATCTATTACAGGCATACATAATTGTAATTTCAGGTAGTGCAAATTTCACTTGAGAACTAGATTAATATAGAACAATTGCGAGGCCAAGTTGACTGAAGCTTCAAGAGAGAGAGTTAAACAACAGAAACCTCCAGTGCGCTGAACATATTAGTTTAAGATGTTCTAAAAAAACTAGGAGCTAAAATGACGAATACTTTACCAGATTTTCCTCTTGTACCACGACTGTGTCAGTTGTACTCTCTCTTCTGTTCAATACATGTGCTGCAGTATGATTAGAGGATTTGACTGTATTCACATCTGGACCTATGCCAGCACAACCAATGGTATGATTGGGCAATCTTGAAGGAGTCAAGGTGGTCATTTTTGCAGCAGACAGCAAGCCTTCATGGATACCTAAAAGGTTCTCTGCTTCCTGATAAGTAGGTGGACTCGATTTTGGTGTTGTATCCACAATCTGCTCATTCACAATAGATGTCTCCGTATGGTGCTGAGTAGGGCATGATAATGATGCAAGAGATGTTGCAGATCCAGGATCAGCATGAGGAAACCAACCATATCTAAAGGGAAAGAAAAAATGATCATCATTGAAATCGCTCTCCAGAATTTGTTCTCACAAGAAGAAAATTGGTTTTTTTTTTTGGGGGGTGGGGGGAAATGCACAAGCACCCCTTGTAGTTTAGTAAGTATAGACAAAACCTCCCACAGTTTGGAAACCCACACTTTAGCTCCTTATGGTTCCAACTAAAGTGAAATGGTAATTTTTTTTTTTTTTTGTCACATTTAATGGTCTAATGCCAATAGTCAGCATTTTTATATGGAATAATGATGAAATTATCAGATTGCCCTTTAAATTGAGGTAAAATTGAAATTACAAAAGAAAACTTGGGGTCAAAATTAAAATTCTGTTCTCTCCTATCTCCTTCAGTACATTCCTTTCTCACTCGTCGCTCCTTCCTCCCCTTTCCCCACCGTCATCCTCCCTCTACTCTCCTGCCCCCCTTAAAATTCACATCCCATCCCTGTGACCAGATGAATAGCCCAACTGCGCCATTCAACTTCCGCTTATCCATGTTCCAACCAAATTCCCCAATCACCAGCAATGGGCAAATTTGGGTGGAGGCCAACTCAAGTTGACCATTGGATCCTCATCAATTCCAGCACAAAAGGGAAAATCAAATAAATTATTTAAATCAATCTCTCACAAGCAGGTGATGACAGGTGGGAGAGCTGCAGGAGGGAAAACTCTAATTGCTATCCTATTGTCACAAGTCAATTCAGTAATTTTGCCGGAAAAGGAAATGATAATTGCTAATAGAGCATATCCTCATTTATGCCAAAAAGAAAACTTTCTTGGGTTGAGCAGAGTAGCAAAGCAACCAAAATAGAAACATATTCAGTTTGAGAACAACCTCTTTATTGATTGCTTCATTTGCTGTCCCCACAGGTATGCACCTTTAAGTTTTGAATATTTTAGCAATCCAACATCTTTAGAGAATCCAGATGTCATGTTTACAACAATCTTGCTGAAACATAAGAACATCCCATGATTCACACACACACACTCTCTCTCTCTCTGGTGCTCTTATGTCTGGCTTCTACAGTGCTGGGAAAGCCACCGGGGAAGGGGAGGGTAGAGGTGGAGGCAAGAGGCTCTTTTCATACTATTAATTCACCTAAAAATTGAATTACTAATTTAACCTTTACAGCTGTTAAACATAACAGAAAATTTAACATTTCATAATAGTACAAGCACAAGGAGTTGGATTCTAGGTTTCCAAAACTATAGGGAGTTAA